GACGTCGTATTTGACATCTGATCAAGAAGCCCACTTTGCCTTCCTTCTGAAGCTACTCCCCGAGCACGAGTTCGAGTTGACCATATATCTGACTCTTCAACTTGCCTCGGAATACTGCGAACGTCTTGGTCTACTTTACCAGCCACAATCGAAATGGCTTCACTATTTTGTCAGTCGGTACAGCGATCATATCAGGTGGAAGAAACAGCAGAAGCTCGAACGTGTTTATGCTGAGACCTTCACGGAAGAGATTCTCTCAAGGTGGTTGACCACACTGAGAGAAACTCTAATCAAACACAACCTTATGGATAAACCCAATTAAATCTTCAACGTAGACGGAACTGGATTCTCCGATAAAACCAAAGGTAGAAGAATTGATTAGCACGGTTTCATTAACTTCCACATCCGTATTTTTAGGGCAATGAGTCACAGTTAATTCGAGCTGTCGTCACGCTTTCAAGGTAAATGAAGAAACGGGAAAAGAATATCACACAGCATTGATCTGTATCAGCGTCGGCGACCAGGTTTTATCACTATTGCTGATCTATGTTGACAAGAACTTGGTGAATACTAGGTGTCGGGATGGCCGGCCAGGCGCTCGATATGCTGTCACAAGCAAAGAAATTTCAGAGAAATGAGTGTATTTGGAAGAATACTAACGAACTATTTCTTTCTAGCGAGGGCACTGCCTTGAGGGAATATTTATCCCGACCACTGCTCATTTCGCTCATCCTATCTTACTCATCATCGAGGCCCATACCTCGCATATAAGCCTGAAAATTTTTGGACCTCTTGAAGAAGCACGAAATAATCTGTCTCATGCTGTCGAGCCATTCCACGCATGCGCTGCAGTTATTTGACTCGGTCATCGATAGCGAAGAACCATCTCAAGGGCGGCAATAAATGCGTCAATAACTACCATTTTTCTCGACTAATCAAAAAGCTTTTCATCGACAAACTTGCTTTTCCTCCATGCTGCATTGTATCATCGTTTGCACGAATGGGTGAGTCAAACTCTAACTGTTCTCTGTGTAGTACATATAGTTGGCTTCTCCATCGGTGTTTGGCCGTTCGACAAGAATCCTATACGTGAACAGGTTGCACAGAATCGTATGATGACTCCCATGCTCACGTTGACTACCAAGTTCTCGACAAGCAGTCCCTGCAACCGCGCATATCGCCACCATCGCCATTCACATCAGTACTACTAAAACTGCATCATCGCCTACGTTCGAACCCGTGACACCCAGCTCAACCTTCTCCATCGCGAATAGTGTCATTCCAACACTCTCAAGTCCTAATCTGTACGCTCGTGTTACACCTTCACTACCCATCGCGACGGTGAGTGGTGATTTTCGCGTTGACTTGTCCCTGGTATCATCATTCGAAAGTGCACAAGCCTGCCCATTAAATCTCACACTCGAACCTCGAAGAAGAAGAAAACGTCATAGAAATCGCCGTATGTCGCACGAGTTCATTTCATCTGAATCTTCGACTTGTGTGTTATCCTCATTCATCGGATTTTGTCGAATCAAATTCATTTAGATCCTCCATCAAACGTCTGAAAAACAACACAGGATTGAACAGTACCGAAGACGAACACGTTCTGATGACAATGAAAGAAAACAAGCAGAAGAGAGAATGAACTCGCAAGCCTCCGGCGACAAAACTACTACGAGATCCCCGAGCACCCAACTCAACAGCGACATCAACGAAAGTACGTCGTGGTCCGTCCCGCGCAATAAAGTAAAAAGCTTATGAAGACAGTTACCCCACTGATGATGAGTTGGAAGCTGGAATCAAATTGATGGAATCAATAATCTACATGGTGAATCGAATCCTTCATGAAGGAAATTCCAACTTGGATTGGAGCTCACGTTTGGCTAGCTTCATTAAGTTTATTGACTTTTCTTTTCGTTTGTTCTTGGAAAACAAACAAGTCATCACATAAAAGAGTAATGTGGCTTAATCTTTTGTTCTCCCAGATGTTGTTTCAAGTCTGATGATGTTTCTGACGAGTCAGCGGCGAATGGTGAATGTAAAACCTGATGACTCGACTACGAAGCGATGACTCTAGGTAAGAGTCGAACTTTTTGTGTCAGCCAAATCCTCGAATTCCGAACTTTGGATTGAAGCAACATCTCTATGTATTTCACATTAAATTTGCATGATCGAATAAAGGATAGCAACATTATTCCATCATGCTGTTTTTATTCATTGATATGCGAAAAAAGGATGAAGACGACATAACTGAGAGTGATGAAACAGATGTCAGCCGATAGAGCTCGTCGTGATGAACAAAATGATGTGAATTACAATAGATATTACTGCAGTTAGACCACTATAAAAATCATTTTCTGTATTGCGCAATGTATTTTTGCTGGGATAATGGAAATAGGAAAGGTA